CCCCATCATCCTCACCCATCTACCCACCACCCATCACCCCCACCACCCACTACCCCCATCATCCTCACCTATCTACCCCCACCCATCACCCCCACCACCCACTTCTCCCACCATCCTCACCCATCTACCCACCACCCATCACCCCCCCCACCCACTACCCCATCATCCTCACCCATCTACCCACCACCCATCACCCCCCCCCCCCACCCACTACTCCCACCATCCCCACCTATCTACCCCGCACCCACTACTCCCACCATTCACACCCATCTACCCCCCCCCCCCCCCACACACACACACACACACACCCATCGCCTCCACCACCATTACTCCCACCACCCATCACCCCCACCACCCACTTCTCCCACCACCCTCACCTATCTACCCCCACCCATCACCCCCACCACCCACTTCTCCCACCACCCTCACCTATCTACCCCCACCCATCACCCCCACCACCCACTTCTCCCACCACCCTCACCTATCTACCCCCACCCATCACCCCCACCACCCACTTCTCCCACCACCCTCACCTATCTACCCCCCACCCACTACTCCCACCACCCACTTCTCCCACCACCCTCACCTATCTAGCCCCACCCATCACCCCCACCACCCACTTCTCCCACCACCCTCACCTATCTACCCCCACCCATCACCCCCACCATCCTCACCCATCTACCCACCACCCATCACCCCCACCACCCACTACCCCCATCATCCTCACCCATCTACCCACCACCCATCACCCCCACCACCCACTTCTCCCACCATCCTCGCCCAAATACCCCCCACCCATCACCCCCACCACCCACTTCTCCCACCATCCTCGCCCATCTACCCACCACCCATCACCCCCACCACCCACTACCCCCATCATCCTCACCCATCTACCCACCACCCATCACCCCCCCCCACCCACTACCCCCATCATCCTCACCCATCTACCCACCACCCATCACCCCCACCACCCACTACCCCCATCATCCTCACCCATCTACCCACCACCCATCACCCCCACCACCCACTACCCCCATCATCCTCGCCCATCTACCCACCACCCATCACCCCCACCACCCACTACCCCCATCATCCTCACCCATCTACCCACCACCCATCACCCCCCCCCACCATTACTCCCATCATCCTCGCCCATCTACCCACCACCCATCACCCCCACCACCCACTACCCCCAATATCCTCACCCATCTACCCACCACCCATCGTTCCTCGACGGTGTGATCGTTGCTCATTATATCAATCACTGGATTGTCTAGTCCAGACTCGATTATTTACAGGCCGACGTCATATACACCTGGAATGTTACTCAGTGCGGCGTTAAACATGTGACACATTAGATGTAGAGGTATATGCACCGGTAGATCGGCACTACTCGCCAGTCCCGGAATGACACGAGTGGTGACGAATGGTGTCACTGTCCCCACTCTATGCACTTTGTTTCGACCCAAGCAGCACACACATCATCATCATATATACTCACCAACATCTGGATAAATGTACCAAGTGTCATGATTAAGTTTAGTAGTGGAAGTAGTTTAGAAAATGGACCTGGTAATAAAGCTGTAGATAACGGGATAAAGCTGAACACTTCACGTAATACCCGCAGATTACGCTAATCCAACGCAAAGATGGGTGGCATGGACCACCCGGTCGCTCTATCCCCCGACCACATGCATGGGCCGCCACAGCCACGCAGTCAAGGAGCCCCCGTTGTGACATGCTTTGTCTATTTCTCACCCTCGGGCCTACAGATACAACCCCAGGAGGGTGAGAGGTGGAGATTCCTCGCTTGATGCATGTCATCGTATCCTAATTGTGTGGATCGATGGTCATGACGTCAATCACTGGATTGCCTGGTCCAGGTTCGATTATTTACCGACCGCCGTCATATAGCTGGAATAATGCTGAGTGCGGTGTTAAACAATAAACAAACAAACAAAATGAATTTGTCTGCGAACTTAATGTGTATGATGTTACCGATCACGCAAAGACATGGCCACATGGCACTGACTACTGGGGATGGGCCGTGGAGCATAATTCTCCTGTAATGTAATGTACTGTATGAAACTCACTACCGTATGGGGACTTTGTGGAACCTCTGGCTGTATGTAAACTGGTTTCCACTCTTAGTTGGCTCAGCAAACTTCGGGGGCCGGTGGGGTAGTCTAGTGGTGTCAGCATGGTGCTCGGTGTTACAATGGAGCCGGTGTCGGCATGGTGTTCGATGTTACAATGGAGCCGGTGTCGGCGTGGTGTTCGGTGTTACAATGGAGCCGGTGTCATCATGGTGTTCGGTGTTACAATGGAGCCGGTGTCAGCGTGGTGTTCGGTGTTATAATGGAGCCGGTGTCAGCATGGTGTTCGGTGTTACAATGGAGCCGGTGTCAGCATGGTGTTCGGTGTTACAATGGAGCCGGTGTCAGCATGGTGTTCGGTGTTACAATGGAGCCGGTGTCAGCATGGTGTTCGGTGTTACAATGGAGCGGGTGTCAGCATGGTGTTCGATGTTACAATTGAGCCGGGTGTCAGCATGGTGTTCGGTGTTACAATGGAGCCGGTGTCAGCATGGTGTTCGGTGTTACAATGGAGCCGGTGTCAGCATGGTGTTCGGTGTTACAATGGAGCCGGTGTTAGCATGGTGTTCGATGTTACAATAGAGTTGGGTGTCAGCGTGGTGTTCGATGTTACAATGGAGCCGGTGTTAGCGTGGTGTTCGATGTTACAATTGAGCCGGTGTCAGCGTGGTGTTCGATGTTACAATTGAGCCGGGTGTCAGCATGGTGTTCGATGTTACAATGGAGCCGGTGTCAGCATGGTGTTCGGTGTTACAATGGAGCCGGTGTCAGCGTGGTGTTCGATGTTACAATAGAGTCGGGTGTCAGCGTGGTGTTCGATGTTACAATTGAGCCGGGTGTCAGCGTGGTGTTCGATGTTACAATAGAGTTTGGTGTCAGCGTGGTGTTCGATGTTACAATGGAGCCGGTGTCAGCATGGTGTTCGATGTTACAATGGAGCCGGGTGTCAGCGTTGTGTTCGATGTTACAATAGAGTCGGGTGTCAGCATGGTGTTCGATGTTACAATAGAGTTTGGTGTCAGCGTGGTGTTCGATGTTACAATGGAGCCGGTGTCAGCATGGTGTTCGATGTTACAATGGAGCCGGGTGTCAGCGTTGTGTTCGATGTTACAATGGAGCCGGTGTCAGCGTGGTGTTCGATGTTACAATGGAGCCGGTATCAGCGTGGTGTTCGATGTTACAATGGAGCCGGGTGTCAGCGTGGTGTTCGATGTTACAATGGAGCCGGTGTCAGCATGGTGTTCGATGTTACAATGGAGCTGGTGTCAGCGTGATGTTCGGCGTTACAATGGAATCGGTGTCAGCATCACTACACTACGGGGCGGTCGGGTAGCCTAGAGGTTAAAGCCTTCGCTCGTCACGCCGAAGACCCGCGTTCGCTTCCCGACATTGGTACAATGTGTGAAGCCCATTTCTGGTGTCCCCCGCCGTGATATTGCTGGAATATTGCTAAAAGCGGCGTAAAACCATACTCTCTCTCTCTCTCTCTCTCTCTCTCTCTCTCTCTCTCTCTCTCTCTCTCTCTCTCTCTCTCTCTCTTCCAAGCATATATATGTATTTTATATCATATTATTAGTAACAACGCGGACACATATGTCTTCACCGCCATAGGGAGACGGGATTAAACTCATATGCATGTGTATGTGTCTGTTTGTTGTTGTCCTTGTGTTGCCCCCTTAATACCGAGCGTCAGGAGGGGTAACAACAAGAACCATCTTATACGTCTTTTGGTATGATGTGATCAGGGGATCGAACCCCGAACCTTCCGTTCTCTGACAGGCGCTCTATCCACTAGACCACGAAGGCGGTAACTCTCAAGAAAGAGCGTCGACAGATCGGATGCAAGTCAAGGGGATATGTGTACATATTTTACGGGCGCTACATACACTAGTTTCCGTGCGTCTGTGCATGTCCTATCATTGTGTATGAACAGTGTGTTATTGTCAATGATAGATTTAAATTCAGTGCCAATTAAATGCCAAAAATATCATTTAGACACAGAAAATGCCTGAAATGTTCATTGATATATACGACAGACTGAATGATTCTACTGGTAGCAGTAGGTCCACAAATTGACTGAGGACGTTGGTTGTAACATTTGTTTTGTCATATAAATGTTAAGATGCCCTATCTTTACGTTTCATTATTATAATACTAATTGTACTTTAAATGCACTTATTACTTCGTGTTATTGTATCACCACTTTGGATATAATATAAGTACATATATACATGTATGCTTATAACAAACTATGATTATAACGAACTCAAAGGGACCACTCATTATAGTTCGTTATAACCGTATTTCGTTGTAAGCATATATACCGCATATATACAGCAAATGGCCGGGACCCCAAAAAAGTTCGTTATATCCGTCAGTTCGTTATAAGCGTGTTCGTTATAAACATAGTTTACTGTACTTAGGTCTGCGGCCTTTAGACCTAACCAAACATAACTATAACGTGAACACGTGTTCTGTCTAATGCTGTAACTTGTGAAGGCTTGTTCACCTTGATCTAGCATGTATCTGCGAGCTGTCGAAGAGGACAATGAAACGGTGTAGGTTGTATACCAGTGACACATAATCCAAAAGGCGGGGTATCCGAGAAGTACGTCTTTACAGTAGGTAACAGTCTTGTGTGTTGTTTATCATGTAAATAAGGCCTGTAAATCGAGACTGGACCAGAAAAACCAGTGGTTGATATCATGAGCAACGTTGCGCGCCGACGAGGTACGCTGACACGCAATCAAGCAAGTCACCGAGTATGACCACCGATCCATTAAGTCGCCCCTTCAAAAAGCATAGTTTACTCGGCATTCTTTAACGTTCGAGCCCTCATAGCGTAGAATTCGTCCCGACAAGTAGTCTGTACCATATAATTTCAAAAGCGTATCTCAGTGCATTTTTAATCAATAATTTAATCACATTGATATTATACACATGTCAAATTTACAAATAACATATGTACAGATTGATATCCATTAAAGATTAACGAAGTGTTCGTTCATAACAATGAATCTATAAATATAAATAACAAAATGTGACCTGGACATATTTCCATTTGCAACTGACCTCGTACTATCTTTCTGAGCAAAACAAATCCTAAATCGTCAGATTGTACGAGCGCTTCCACAACTTGAGATATCCCTCCATACATCTGTCACTCAACATGTCAACTCGCAAGTGCGCACAATACGGACCAATCACAAGGTTGTTTACATGAGAAGTCGGCTTACTGCGTCAAGCTTTACAGTAAACCCCGCCCCGATCGTCACGGCCCGTCGGTCAGAGCATGGGCGCTCAAGTCCCCCTATCATGTATCAAGCCCGTACACACATACAATGGGCTAGTCGGCCGATTACAGTCAATTTAGTAGGCTAGACACTCTGTCGTCAACACTGGTGGGAAGCCACTTTGATTCTTCATTCACAGTAATTGTCTACCTTTGTGAGAAATGTCATTAGCATTTGTCCCGCCACGGCAGTGATCTCGATCACCGGAGTGACTAGCCCTTATTCTGTGGGCACAGAAATCCACTCTCACTATCTCCGCAGTTGTACACGGTTGTCCAGGACTCGGGCGAGGCGCTACACAGGGGTGGGGAGGGTGGGGCCTTACAAACCCGTCAACTCTTACACATAGCACTAGCAAGAAGTGTCAGCTCAATCTCGCCCCGGTCTGGTTCGGATCCGCGCGAGCTGTCAACTACCTCAACGATTTACACCGGCGTCACGGTGACGCAGGCACTGCGTCACGGGGTAGCACTGTGGGTTTACTGCACAAACACTCCCGACTAGTTCCTCATTCTCCCTCCGTCTGACAGGAACACGCACAAGCTGTAATTACAGGATAGCGGATCTTAATCCACCGGCATGCATCGCGCCTTTGCCACTTCCGGCAGTGCCACCTGAGAATTGTTTTGGTGGTGGATTTGCTGGGTTTACACACCATCCCCGGGGGGAGGGAGCACGACCTCTGGGTGGAGCACAGACCGTCCCTGATCCAGCGGGGCCAGAACCTCCCCCCAAGGTCCCTCCACACGTACTTCACGGGGCAATAAGAGTAACTCCACAAAAACTTCTGGAACTTCCTTCTATCTTTCTTACTCACTTTCAACTTTAACGTTGGCCCATCTTGCAACTGCATCGTCTGAATTAACCTTAGGAATCCTGGTTTCTTTCCAACGGGGCGTCCTTTATGGAACTTATACTCTAGAGTCCCGTTCTTCCTTCGTGGTGATTTAACGGACATAAACTCTCTATCGTAGTCACTGCCTAGAAGCGCCATCAGTTTCTTCCTGTTAACCTCCTCGGGGCGGGGATCGTAGTATTTGTCTCGCGTCTCCACAATGCCTTCAATAGGCAGGCGGTCGGAGGGGAGAGGTCGGGTGCCGTCCCGGGGGTATAGGGAATTGTCAGTCTGGGGGTCCTCCGCCTTCAGAAGCTTAAAGTAGACCTGCGTTCCTCGCGTGTGGGGAAGCAGCCAGAAAAGCATCAGTACCAGCAGGCTTGGATGGGGAGACATCATACTTCGCGTCTTGCTATCTGAAACAGTGAGTGAGTGAATGAGTATGGTTTTACGCCGCTTTTAGCAATATTCCATTAATATCACAGCGGAGGACACCAGAAATGGGCTTCACCTATTGTACACATGTGGGGAATCGAACCCGGGTGAGCGAACGCTTTAACTACTAGACTACCCCATCGCCCTCTATCTGACAAGAGTCGTACACGGTTACTATCCTAACTACAGGTGGTACCTATTATGAACACGATGAACCGTGGTTGGTTATATAACATAAAAAGGTTAACTTAAAGAATGATTCGCTTAACAGTTCATATTTCACGTGTAGATTTGTGGTCCATGTAAAATTATAGAATGTTTGAGTTGCGCGTTTAACACTACCCTGAGAAACCATTACGGTAAACTACGGTTATAACGAACTCAAAGGGACCACTGATTTTAATTCGTTATAATCGTAGTTCGTTATAAGCATATGTACAACATCTATCCACAAAATGAACGGGACCAAGAAACAGTTCGTTATATCCGGAAGTTCGTTATAAGCGTGTTCGTTATAAACGTAGTTTACTGCAGCACTAACGCATACCTAATGCGGAGAAACTGTTGTGAACCCTGGATTCGAACCCAAACCCCGCGGATCCTGGTTATGAGACATAATACCCCGTTCATATACACCTCTTTACATGTGTGTATATTTCCTTAGCGTGTAAATATACATACGTGAGTATACTTGTCAGGTGAACGCGTTTTCTCATGTGTGTATTTTTACACCAGGAGCAAATTTGCATCATGTCGGTAGCAGGTGCAAGTGTAAATTTGCACTGGATGTACACGTTGTAATGTGAACGATTAGATGATTATCTTACTTATATTACTGTTTGCAAATACCAAACAAAATTGTCAACAGTTCTGTATTCTGAAGTTGACGCTATTCAGTATACATCAAAACGACATTCGGAGCAGGGCGCACTGTGTTTTCTTTTGGTTTCAAGGAGTCAAACAAGTGTGTATAGATGAAATCAACCACATGTAGCTTCATGCGAAGATTTCTGTAAGGTAAATCTCTTCTCATTCGACTTTCATTGGAAAACAACCTTTTCATGTTGTAAGTCGACGGACTGATGAATATGTGTTCTTTACACTATTAAAATACCTTATTAACACACCTAATTTTCTTGTGAACGCATAATACATTATGCATATAAATTATACCATATACACCCGTATGTACAGTTGCACGTGTAAAAAATTACTTACGTGTTGTGCATGTGCCTTAGATGTCGGACCCCGCGGTTTAAACAAGTACTACAGGGCTCATATGCCGCCGCCTGTGCACCCTTCTGTCGTGCTGTGGGCGACAAGGGTCCCCGTGTAGTTTAATGCAAAATGGGGGCTGGTAACCTATAATAAGAGGTTGGAGGGAATCGGGGACAGTCACTTGTGACAGGGTCGTGACAAGTACCAATGTACTACATGTCTGACCCTTAACATCATTCAGTACTCTTATGCTTAACAAATGTACTACCAAAATGAAGAAAGACATTTAAAATCGGCTCATTGGAACTTTCTGCGAGAAAATCTTTGATACAATGTAATTCCCCAGACTATCACTAAAACACGAACTTCCAAACCCTGTACAACCCGTGTCCATACATCAAAGAGCATTCTCAAACCGGTTTCCATAATATGCAGACATTTATCATATCGATTACCGACATTGCAAGTATAACCACCGGAATCTGAACAACATGCCGCAGAAACATACTCGGGATATGTTGGAAATACAATACAACATGAGGGCGTGCAACACAATCAACGTCACATACTAAATACTAGTGTATAAATATCACTCAGTCTGCGTCTGTTGTGTAATAGTTTCGGTTGTTGGGGATAGAGTCGCGTTACTTCCTGAAGCGCATTACGACTCCGAGCCACAGCCCTCCACTACATTTATATTGGGCACGGTAAGAGAAAACAATGCCTGCGTGTATCTATAAACAGCGCTGTGGGCCAGTCGGCGCCGGGTGATGCGTAGACTAGATTCACGGACAAATTACACGTGGCTCCTAAATACTACAGAGAAAATAACTGCAGTCTCGTTTTTTACGGGATGAATAGAGATAAGCCACAGCGATGAAAGCTTGAATAAGTTGTGAGCATCTGAAAAGTCACGTCTCCTTTTATAACATACTTTTAACATATACATTTTTATTAAATATTACGTGGAACCCAATAACACAGCGTTGGCGGGTAACTTCTCTACGTATCGTTGTAAAATACAGTTCTACAATATTATAGATTTATATTAATTTAAACCTCTTCGACAATAATCATGTATTACTAAATGCGGAAATGGAGCATCGGCATTGATTTAGTAGATCTTATTTAAACAGTTTCTGAGAGGCGCTGCATACCACGACATAGGTAGTGTACAGCGATAGGAGAACATCAATGGTAATCATTTGAGAAGTAAAAGAAATGACATCTGAACAGTTCTCAAGCACAAATCGAGGGTGTCTCACCTGTGTCCGGACGGGGAAGACTGACCAGGGTGAGCGAGGGGCTGGGGTTAAGTGACGTCATTTCACAGAGGTGTCAACAATTAACAGTTCTAATTAACGCCCTAATTAGCGAGACACCCAATCCCTGCTGTGAGGATGGTGACAAGCGAGGCTTGTATAGCGAGCGGTGTCGGCGTCAGGGGGTGTTGTGACGCCGGAGAGGGGGAGAGTAAGCCCTTGAGTGTTGCACACCTGGGGAGAGTGGTACACACATGGAGAGAAAACAACACTCTCTTCACACAATACACGCGATAATTAACACCTGGTAAACAAAATGCTACAATCCCAGGCAATGACGTAAAGAAAACAAGTAGCTCTAGTGACAAACACAAATTGGAAATGATTGACCCCCTCATGCCAGCTATTGTCCCGTACAGATTGGGGGAGGTCCTTCATGTCGTTAACGTTTTAATGCAAAGTAGGGACAAAAAGTGTTATTTTTTCTATTAAACATCAAACGGACAGTTGGAAAATATTCGGCGCAATCGAGAAATGCCATCAAGCAGAAATGGATGGGATGGATATACCCTCTTCATCAGCCGAACATTGATCCATGTTATCCGGAAGATATATGATATACCAGATTAAGATGGAATCACAGTCCTCATTACACAACTAGGGAAAAAGAAAATTATTTTAGTTAATAAACTATTTACAAATTTTAACCTAATTGAAAACTAGAATGCATACGAACCGTGTGTGATTGAGGGCTAGCCGCACGCGATCGTCCAGCGCATAAGTCCGGGTGTTATGTCCAGTGTGACGGACGGTGCAGAGAGATGCCGTCTACATTGGCATCCCCGACTCCCTCACATCTTCAGCAGCGTCCGATGGGATGCACGTCACACCTAGCGGCCAGGTATGAGCACCGTACAGGGAGAGAAGACAGCGTACAGGTACACGGTACAGAGATAACAGCGTTCAGTACAGATTTCCTCGCGCCGCTCTCATCACCACAGCTAGTGCGTTGTCTCTGCCGTAGCGACTCTACCTATCTCATTGCTTGGCCCGCAGGAGTAGGGACGGTACGCTCAGAGTAGACGATCTTTTTGTGAAGCGTCGACGCAGAGTCTGGGACGGGCGGACCACAGTCGGAGGGGGGCGGGGCAGGAGACTACCCCCTCGGACAGCGGGCAGTGGGCTGTCATACATTGCCTTGGGCTATGGCGCGGCTTTTCACACTTTTAATGATTCTTGCGGTCAAATTATATTGGAGGTTAATCTTGTGTGATTAGATTTGCGACAAATACAGTTTACTTTACGGTGTAATGAGCCCCCCACCAGATCGTCGCCAGTCTGCGGTCAGCTCGATTCCCTGTCGCTTCATCGGTCACTGGGCTGACTGTCTGCACGTGACAGGCGGGCTGCTGGGCCGTCTTCACAAATCGGACTCCTCTCTCTCCGACAGCCAGCACACGGATCGGATGAGTACTTTCTGATGCACACGCTGTCTGTATCATAAATATGTCCCATTTTCTTTCATTTTAAACACACAATCATGTCACTCACGTATACTTGCTATCTTCCCTTTATTTGTCACACCTGTATCACTACTTTCTTCCCTACACCCATGTCACACCTATATCACTGCCATCTTCCCTACACCCATGTCACACCTATATCACTGCTATCTTCCCTACAGCCATGTCACACCTATATCACTGCCATCTTCCCTACACCCATGTCACACCTATATCACTGCTATCTTCCCTACAGCCATGTCACACCTATATCACTGCCATCTTCCCTACACCCATGTCACACCTATATCACTGCCATCTCCTCTACACCCATGTCACACCTATATCACTGCTATCTTCCCTACACCCATGTCACACCTATATCACTGCCATCTTCCCTACACCCATGTCACACCTATATCACTGCTATCTTCCCTACAGCCATGTCACACCTATATCACTGCCATCTTCCCTACACCCATGTCACACCTATATCACTGCTATCTTCCCTACAGCCATGTCACACCTATATCACTGCCATCTTCCCTACACCCATGTCACACCTATATCACTGCCATCTCCTCTACACCCATGTCACACCTATATCACTGCTATCTTCCCTACACCCATGTCACACCTATATCACTGCTATCTTCCCTACATCCATGTCACACCTATATCACTGCTTTCTTCCCTATATCACTGCTATCTTCCCTACACCCATGTCACACCTATATCACTGCTATCTTCCCTACACCCATGTCACACCTATATCACTGCTATCTTCCCTACACCCATGTCACACCTATATCACTGCTATCTTCCCTACACCCATGTCACACCTATATCACTGCTATCTTCCCTACACCCATGTCACACCTATATCACTGCCATCTTCCCTACACCCATGTCACACCGATATCACTGCCATCTTCCCTACACCCATGTCACACCTATATCACTGCCATCTTCCCTACACCCATGTCACACCTATATCACTGCTATCTTCCCTACACCCATGTCACACCTATATCACTGCCATCTTCCCTACACCCATGTCACACCTATATCACTGCCATCTCCTCTACACCCATGTCACACCTATATCACTGCTATCTTCCCTACACCCATGTCACACCTATATCACTGCCATCTCCTCTACACCCATGTCACACCTATATCACTGCCATCTTCCCTACACCCATGTCACACCTATATCACTGCCACCTTCCCTACACCCATGTCACACCTATATCACTGCTATCTTCCCTACACCCATGTCACACCTATATCACTGCTTTCTTCCTTACACCCATGTCACACCGGTATCACTGCTATCTTCCCTACATCCATGTCACACCTATATCACTGCTATCTTCCCTACATCCATGTCACACCTATATCACTGCTTTCTTCCCTACACCCATGTCACACCTATATCACTGCCATCTTCCCTACACCCATGTCACACCTATATCACTGCTATCTTCCCTACACCCATGTCACACCTATATCACTGCTATCTTCCCTTACAGCCATGTCACACCTATATCACTGCTATCTTCCCTACACCCATGTCACACCTATATCACTGCCATCTTCCCTACACCCATGTCACACCTATATCATTGCTATCTTCCCTACACCCATGTCACATCTATATCACTGCTATCTTCCCTACACCCATGTCACGCCTATATCACTGCCATCTTCCCTACACCCATGTCACACCTATATCACTGCCATCTTCCCTACACCCATGTCACACCTATATCACTGCTTTCTTCCCTACAGCCATGTCACACCTATATCACTGCTATCTTCCCTACATCCATGTCACACCTATATCACTGCTGTCTTCCCTACAGCTATGTCACACCTATATCACTGCCATCTTCCCTACACCCATGTCACACCTATATCACTGCTTTCTTCCCTACAGCCATGTCACACCTATATCACTGCTATCTTCCCTACATCCATGTCACACCTATATCACTGCTGTCTTCCCTACACCCATGTCACACCTATATCACTGCTATCTTCCCTACACCCATGTCACACCTATATCACTGCTATCTTCCCTACATCCATGTCACACCTATATCACTGCTTTCTTCCCTACACCCATGTCACACCGTTATCACTGTTTTCTTCCCTACACCCATGTCACACCTATATCACTGCCATCTTCCCTACACCCATGTCACACCGATATCACTGCCATCTTCCCTATATCACTGCTATCTTCCCTACACCCATGTCACACCGATATCACTGCTATCTTCCCTACACCCATGTCACACCTATATCACTGCCATCTTCCCTACACCCATGTCACACCTATATCACTGCTATCTTCCCTACACCCATGTCACACCTATATCACTGCTATCTTCCCTACATCCATGTCACACCTATATCACTGCTTTCTTCCCTACACCCATGTCACACCGTTATCACTGTTTTCTTCCCTACACCCATGTCACACCTATATCACTGCCATCTTCCCTACACCCATGTCACACCGATATCACTGCCATCTTCCCTATATCACTGCTATCTTCCCTACACCCATGTCACACCGATATCACTGCTATCTTCCCTACACCCATGTCACACCTATATCACTGCCATCTTCCCTACACCCATGTCACACCTATATCACTGCTATCTTCCCTACACCCATGTCACACCTATATCACTGCTATCTTCCCTACACCCATGTCACACCTATATCACTGCCATCTTCCCTATATCACTGCTATCTTCCCTACACCCATGTCACACCGATATCACTGCCATCTTCCCTACATCCATGTCACACCTATATCACTGCTATCTTCCCTACACCCATGTCACATCTATATCACTGCCATCTTCCCTACATCCATGTCACACCTATATCACTGCCATCTTCCCTACACCCATGTCACACCTATATCACTGCCATCTTCCCTACACCCATGTCACACCGATATCACTGCCATCTTCCCTACACCCATGTCACACCTATATCACTGCTATCTTCCCTACACCCATGTCACACCTATATCACTGCCATCTTCCCTACATCCATGTCACACCTATATCACTGCCATCTTCCCTACACCCATGTCACACCTATATCACTGCCATCTTCCCTACACCCATGTCACACCTATATCACTGCCATCTTCCCTACACCCATGTCACACCTATATCACTGCCATCTTCCCTACACCCATGTCACACCTATATCAATGCCATCTTCCCTACAGCCATGTCACACCTATATCACTGCTATCTTCCCTACACCCATGTCACACCTATATCACTGCCATCTTCCCTACACCCATGTCACACCTATATCACTGCCATCTCCTCTACACCCATGTCACACCTATATCACTGCTATCTTCCCTACACCCATGTCACACCGATATCGCTGCCATCTTCCCTACACCCATGTCACACCTATATCACTGCTATCTTCCCTACACCCATGTCACACCTATATCACTGCCATCTTCCCTACAGCCATGTCACACCTATATCACTGCTATCTTCCCTACACCCATGTCACACCGATATCACTGCCATCTCCTCTACACCCATGTCACACCTATATCACTGCCATCTTCCCTACACCCATGTCACACCTATATCACTGCCATCTCCTCTACACCCATGTCACTCCTATATCACTGCTATCTTCCCTACACCCATGTCACACCGATATCACTGCCATCTCCTCTACACCCATGTCACACCTATATCACTGCCATCTTCCCTACACCCATGTCACACCTATATCACTGCCATCTCCTCTACACCCATGTCACACCTATATCACTGCTATCTTCCCTACACCCATGTCACACCTATATCACTGCCATCTTCCCTACACCCATGTCACACCTATATCACTGCCATCTCCTCTACACCCATGTCACACCTATATCACTGCTATCTTCCCTACACCCATGTCACACCTATATTACTGCCATCTTCCCTACACCCATGTCACACCTATATCACTGCTATCTTCCCTACAGCCATGTCACACCTATATCACTGCTATCTTCCCTACACCCATGTCACACCGATATCACTGCTATCTTCCCTACACCCATGTCACACCTATATCACTGCCATCTTCCCTACACCCATGTCACACCTATATCACTGCTATCTTCCCTTCACCCATGTCACACCTATATCACTGCTATCTTCCCTACACCCATGTCACACCTATATCACTGCCATCTTCCCTACACCCATGTCACACCGATATCACTGCCATCTTCCCTACACCCATGTCACACCTATATCACTGCTATCTTCCCTACACCCATGTCACACCGATATCACTGCTATCTTCCCTACACCCATGTCACACCGATATCACTGCCATCTTCCCTACACCCAATATGCACCGTACGAAGTGATCTGTGATATGTGACCTGTCATCTACAGGTAGACGGAATGTATGTGATCTGTCATCTACAGGTAGACGGAGTGTATGTCATCTGTCATCTACAGGTAGCCGGGGTGTATGTGATCTGTCATCTACAGGTAGCCGGGGTGTATGTCATCTGTCATCTACAGGTAGACGGGGTGTATGTGATCTGTCATCTACAGGTAGCCGGGGTGTATGTGATCTGTCATCCACAGGTACCCGGGGTGTGTGTCATCTGTCATCTACAGGTAGACGGGGTGTATGTGATCTACAGGTAGATGTAGTGTATGTTATCTGTCATCTACAGGTAGACGGAGTGTATGTGATCTTTTATCTACAGGTAGAC